CTTACTACTAGTAACAAGAAGCTACTAGGAACGGTCTTTGAAGCTACAGTAATGCATGATTTCATGGTTTTGGGTAGGACTTTGTAAGTGTGCGAATTCGCTCCATAGCGAGCGCGAATACAAAATGGACGTGGGAAGTGATACCCCCCCTGCAAACGGACCACATGGAACCTGAGAAGAAAAAACGGTGAAAGACAATTTTCCGAATACCAACCCAGTATTTTGGGGTTCCATGTTAATCTGCAGGAGAGTAGTCTGCATCCGCTTTCGGCTGTGCAATTCTATCAGGTTCACCGAATGACCCAGCACTAACACTCAACAAAGACACGTCCAATCTGATGAGTTCTACTAACACGGATCTACCCACAACGGCTCTTCCAGGTTAATGTTGCTGACTTCTATGACTGAAACGTCCATCGTATTGATGTCCTTCATCTCTTGAGCAAACTTTTCGAACTCGTCCACGTCCGCGAAGTCCTCATCCTCCCAATCAAATTGACCCGACCGCACGACCGCAGTAGAACTTGCCCCAATTCGGGCCACTCAGTTTTTAACAGAAACCTTCTTTTAATGCTTTCTAATTGCTTGATTAATCAACCAACCAGGCACTTGGGTGTTGCACAATCCATAACAAAATCACAGTGCATGCTTCCCACAATTTGGCCAAACAAACATAGTGTACTTCATGCTTTCAGGGTGAAGCAAGTGCCCTTCATTTCAAGCAGTAGGTCAATATCTTGGCGCTGGGAGGGTCAACATAGTGGCCCAAGAGGTTTATATAGTTTTATATACTCATTGTTATACATGTTATACTATGGTTTACCCCTCTATTCTTTTTTACATGTTTGGAGATCATGTTTCAGCTGGAATCACTAAGCTGAAACAATGCTGTACATGTTTCTGCCAGCATCCAGAACCCAAAATCCAACGGAATGCCAAAAATGCACGTCGGGCTTCCCTCGCAACCAAGCCTGCATGCGGTCGTGCAGCTTCTCAACTCCGACTGGCGCCTGCACCCAACGGACTGGAGACAAACATGGCTCTCGAAGGCATGTACAGTATCTGTCCGTGCATGTCCGTGTGAGGTTCACAAAACGACATTGGGAGGGAAGTCCACTCGCAAACTTGCATGTACCTCTTGGTTGCCCAATGGTTTGTCCCTCAAAAGGGTGCCAAATGGACAGCCGGATGCAGCTGGTACCTTTGTGTCATGCCACGTTGGCGCGCCTTCTTGGGCGCCACCGGCGCATCTGGCAACGACGTGTAGCCGCTCTTTTTGGGATCCGCCGTCTCCACCGCCGGTTCAGACGTCGCCGCCAGTGCAGGCGCCACTGAAGGCTCTGAGGTCAACTTGGCTGGCACGAGCCCGGGCCATGAGCTGTGGCACTCCAAGGCCTGAAGACAGCGGTTTGGGGGAGGGGAAGATGTTCTCCATCAACTCCTCTAAAAGGTTTCAAAAAACTTGTCCATGTATAAATAATGCCGTCTACTTTCCTTAAGTACAAGCAAATGTGACACACCCTGCATGGCCCTGGCCTCTCGTAGGCGGAGAACCGAATTTTCAGCATCCTCATCCAACAGACTGGAGCGATTTGCAGGCTGCTGGCAGCGCTGCTTCAGCATGTGGAGGTCTTGGTCTTCCAAAGGGCAGCCTGAAACATGCACAGCTCAGGATGCATACAGTAAATCCCAAACGGACATGACTACTA